CCAGCAAGTGGCCGGCAGACACTCCATAAATATTGTTGAATGCATGAATGAGCCTCAGACCTCTTCCTCATGGAGGGTCTGCAGAAAGCTCTCTCTCCTCCCCAGGACTCAGAGCAGAGCTGGTGCTGGAGGGGACCTCGGGGGCTGGGTGGGGGTGAGCCCCTTGAGTGTGACCAGGAGCTGGGTCCCTGAAGGGGTGGGTGAAGACTCACCATAGAGGGTGATCTTGAAGTACTCCTGATTTTGGAAAACTTTTTTGAAGAACACCATGGCATACTGGTTGTAGTTGGTGGCCGCCACTCTCACGATGTAGCTCTGTACGCTGGGATAAGCTGCGGGGAGGAGAGCGAGGGGTCAGCCCTGGCTGGGAGGATGGAGCAGCTCCTGTCCCCCCAGCCCTCCACAGGACAGCATCTGTGTGGAGGTGCAGGGAGGTCTGTGTCCCCTCTGGGAGGACCCCGCCCCCAGTAACTCCAACCCCAGGGCCCACATCACTCAGGACTCACCCTGAATATTGCCCAGCCTGAACTCGCCAGGCTGGGAAGTTGGGACAAAGGGTCTGATAAAGTAGTCACAGTTCTGGTCCCTGTGGAGGTAAAAGATGTGTGGTTGAGAGGGGAGACACACAGGCTTGGACCCCCTGGGCTAGATGAAGTGGGGGTCAGGGCTGCAGCTGGAGCAGCCAGCCCATCTCCTACCACAGCAGGAGGCCCAGGTCTCCCCCGCTGAGCCTATCTCTGCTGTCCCTGCCAGGTCTGCCCTGAGCCACCTGACCCTGCTCGGACCCTCCCTCCAGCATCCCCTGTCCTTGTCTTCAGGACTGTCTCCCCTCAGTGGCCTTCCCCACCCCAGACATTTGTCCCCTACTCTTATCTTGCTGTTTCCTTCTCTGTAACCCCTCCTGGGGATTTCACCTTCCAAGGTGCCAGGCTGCTCCATGCCAAGGACTCTCCTAGCTCTTGGGCCAACCCTGGCCTCTCACCCTGTCCCTGGCACCCCAGAGCTAATCTCCTGCCCTTCTGCCTCTTGCTCCACAAGTGCTCCAGCCCCGCGTCCCCAGTTGCCAGAGCCAGAATCCCACAGGAGCTGAGTGAGCCCTTGTATCCCACTATTCCTCTCCTCACCAGTGGGTGCCTGTGCCTCAGGCCCCTGGCAGTGTGGCACCCGTCCCCCTCCAGGCCGCTCACCAGCTCCTGCCCAGGGCGGCCTGGCAATGGCTTGCTTCTGCCTAAAGGAGTGGGTCTCTCACTTAGAGTCCACCAGCCTCTGCTGTGAATGCCCCACATGTCCTTCTGAGGCAGGTTGGCTTCTTCGAGGCCCAGCCCAGAAGCCATTCTGGGGTTCTAGAACCCCAGAAGTCCTAGGTGGGGTTCCAGGCTTGTTCCAGTGACCCTCTGCCTACCCAGGACACCCCTGCTCCCTCTGTCTTGTTTCCTGAGGACTGTTTATCCATCCCCACTACTGTCTGCATGTCTCTGTTGAAGTGACCAGTAAATGCTGATCTAATGAAGGAAGGAAGGAAGGGAGGAAGGAAGGAAGGAAGGAAGGAAGGAAGGAAGGAAGGAAGGAAGGAAGGAAGGAAGGAAGGGAGGAAGGAATATTTGAATCCAGTGCTGAGCAGCAAGGTGGAGGACTACCTGTCAGCTCCCGTCACCCCTCAGCCATGACATCAGTCTGCCTCTCAGTCACTGCCAGCGTAGCCCCCCAGCCCCCCCATGCTCTCCCAGAAGGTGGCGGCTCTCACTTGAGCAGGATGGAGGTGACATTGTAGCTGTGGTCTTCTTTCAGCTCGTAGGTGGTGGAGTACATCTTAAACTTGCCTTGTTCTTCTTTTGAAACTGCATTCCCCGCCAGGCCCACCACGTACCACTTCCCCTGGAACTGCAGGGAGGCTGGTTATAGGCAGAGTGGGCCCCACGAGCCCCTCCACCTGGGCCACAGGGCTCCCTACTGGGCTTGCACTGATGAAGTCGGCAGGAGCTAGAGGCCATCAGGCCAGGAAGGAGCCCTGAGTCTGGCAGGGTTGAGGCGACCCTTGGCAAGTGACCCGCTGGACCCCCTGAGCCTCAGTTTCCTCATCAGGCAGAGGGACTGAAGATATTCCCACCTTGCATGGACTATGGAGATAAGGGAGAGAATGTGGACCTGGGAAGGTCAGCAAGGTCATAGTGGGTAAGGGGCATGGGACATGGCTTCCATCAGGGGACTGAAGGGCAGTCTGAGCTGAAGCCTGGGCCCATCCTGCCCTAACACGCTTCCTAAGACTCTTTGCCTCCCCTCTCTTCTGCTCCCACCCTCCCAGCTGCACCTCCAGGCCCCTTACCTACCTGATCATCTTGGAAGTTCGCTTGCAGCGGGACCCTGATCAGAGGAGGGGCTGGGATGTGGTTTGGGGTGGAGTCCTTGGCCTGGACCTGCAGGGCCCCCAGCAGGGTGAGGCCCAGCCACAGGAGACCTGCGGGCATGGTTTCGGGGCTGAGGAAGCTGTGCAGCTGCTGGGCCTGGAAGGTGGTGAAGGAAAAGGAGGTGAGTGAGGAGGCTGGCCTTGGGGACCCTATTTATCGTCCACCTGTTTGCTGGCTCACCCCAGGGTGGAATGATTTATCCTTTGCCAAATTCAGGAAGGGTGAGGTAACTACCGCAACTCCTGTTGAAACATTTGGCACGATTTCTTCTTCCTTGTGGTTAGGACTGTGCAAGATTGGGGAACAGGAAGGCCAGGGGAGTCATGGGGGGGACATTCCCCAGAGCTCCACACCTCTGGCAAGGACAAAGCCTCCCCCCATACACTCTCTGTGTCCCGTCCCTCCTCTCTGGTTGGCCCTGTTCATGGTCAGTGGTCCCGATCTGGCTGAGTCATCATCTCTGACTTCCAGGAACTCCTGCTCAGCCCAAGGCCAGGCCCGGTTATGTGCAATGAAAACCCCCACTCCTGGTACCCGATGAATGCACACAATGCCTCACCCCTGTTTCCTGGTTCTCAGAAGGGACAGGGAAGGGTGGGGCAGCTAAAAGTGGGTGGACATTCCCGACAGAGAAGGGCCCAATGTGTTTCTTGAGATCGCGACTCCCAGATCCTGGCCCTCTCAGGGGCCCCACATAGGCACTGGCACAGGGTGGGACCCCCCTCTCTAAGGGTTGATCTGGGAGGGCTCCTGCCTTGAGTTGGCCCTTTCCCTCTTCCATGCCCCATTTGCAGGAGTGGACCTGGACCGCAGCTGACCCCTAGGGACTTGGTCCTCCTGTGGGTTCCATGGACACAGACCCCAAGCTGGGCAATCCAGCCACACAAAATTGCACGGAGGCTGCAGTCCCAGCTCCATCCTGGTCGGGGGACAATGAGGGACACACCTGCACTGGTGGGGCTGGAGTCTGAAGGACAGCTTTTCACCCTACTGCTCTGGACACCAAGTGTTTTGGGTCACAGAAAGTGTAACCCTTCCTTGGTCTCATCCTTGACAGATCACTGAGACTATCCACTATTTCTCGCCACAGCCTTGGGCTGTGGAGCCCTGGGGCCCAGGCCTGGGCCCTGGAAGTGTCCCTACCATGGCTGATCCCAGCTTTGTCCTAGAGAGTAGTTTCCTCACTGGGGGCCTGGCCATCCCTGGGAGGTAGTGATGGGTCCCAGCCCCTGGGCAGTGTCTTCCAGATGTCACCAGGAGGGCCGAGGCTGTCTAGCTACCTGACCTGAGGCTGAATTGAGGATTGACCATCCTTAGGAAATTGACAGGAACCTCATTGGCTCTATCCACTTGCTGCTAGGAAACCAGCACCCCCAGCCTGGGCTCTGGGGCAGCAGGCCCCAAGAGAAGTGGCTTTGGACAGGGTCCTGAGCTGCTGGGTAGGACACAGTCTTGGCCATCCTAAGGCAGAGAGGCCCCCTTAGGCTGTGTCCTGCCTCCCTGTCTGGGTGATGAAAGGACAAGAAGGAGAGATTAGCAAAGCTTCAGGGAACGATGTTGCATCAAAGCTGCGCGCCCTCTGGAGATGCCAGTGGCCACTGCCCACCCAAGGGCCCCTCCCCTGCTACTCTCTTTGACCTTAAAAGGTATCTTCAAGCCTGGGGTGACTGCTGGATGTGGAGGAAACTAACAGTGGAGCCCCAAAGAATTTTAACTAGGGGAGGGGCAGTGCCCTGAATCACCAAGGAATCACTGGATGGAATATTCGAGACTCTGAAAGTCAGGGGGCAGAGTGGCCAATGCTCCCTAGTATGAATTGGGGAGGTGAGTAAGGCTGGGTCTACAGCATGAGAAAACAAAGGCCAGATGCAGAAGGAGATATGGCCCAACTCAGGGGCGCTGGCCCCTCTGTAAAGAAAGCTGCGCTGCAGATTCTGCGAAGCCACGCGCACACACACACACAGTGGCGTGTGCACACACACAGGTGTCTCCACATGAGGTCCTCTCTGAGTTTCTGACCAAACCCACCAAACAGGGCCCGTGCTTCTTTGCTCTGGCTCCAGGCCTGTCCAGACACACTGACCTCGTCTGTCTCTCTGTCATCAATCATCACTGTGTGGTCTTGGCCTTGGCTGAAACCTGGTGATGGCCACTCATCACTTCTTCCTCACATGGCTGCCTCCTGCCTTCTCTCCTGGCCTAGCTCTGGAGGTTGGGCTGGTCCAGGAGCTGAGGGAAGGGGTAAGAGTGAAGGGGACGAGGCCCATCCAGGGATTTGAGTCTCAGCAGTGTGCAGTGTCCCAGCCATACTTCGTGGGTGTTGCTGGAGGAGGCCATCGACAGGATGTGACCACCAGTTGACCCTCGAGCTGGGCCCAGGCCTTCCGAGGCTCCTCACTGCCTCTCCTGTCCTTGAAGATATGCTCCGCCCACCGTTCCCACAGTGGGAGCTGTTTTCGAGGACGCAGCCCTGAGAGAGCACTGTGCTGTTGAGACCATCTGGACTGAATATGTGATGAGTCCCGTTAAGGCCTCTATAAGCTTTAAGATTCTGGCGGGAGGGTATGGAGAGCTACTCGTCTTGTGGCGCCCAAGACAAGCCGCGTCAGCAAGTTCCCTCCCTGGTTTATTAAACCTGCCACCTACCAATCTGGAGTGGCCTGCCTCTTTCTCCCGTCTCTCCTTGTTCTCTGTGTATAGGGGCCAGTTTGTGAACCAAGGGGTCCAAAGACAGTCATGGTCATGCCTGGGGTAGAGGTCAGGCCAAGCTGTGGCTGATCCCAGCCAACGAGAGGTGGGTGCTGGGCTGGTTGGAGCTGGAGCACAGGGATCAGTGGAGGGCGCTTCTTGCATTCTGCCTAAGGAAAGGAGGGGGCGTGCAGGCTGGGCTGGAGATCAGGTGAACGGCTCTGCCCGCACTCCTCAGAGTCTAGCACGGCTTTGGGGGAGGGTCAGCTCAACTGGGCCTGGGCCCCTGGCCAACGAGGGGATTCTCAGGCTCCCCCTGCCCAGAGCTAGGGGCTCTCAGAATGGTCTGCACTGTACATGCGGCACCGTGTGGGGCGTGCCGGCACTCATCCACTCCCCTTTGGCTCCCTCTTGTTTTCCACTGTGGCCCCTGGGCTGATTCCACAGGATTACTCCCGCCAGCCTGGCGCTCTCTCTCTCTCTCTCTCTCTCTCTCTCTCTCTCTCTCTCTCTCTCTCCAAATGTCCCCAATGAGGGAGGCCACAACAAGCCACACAGGAGCTTTGGGGCCAAGCCCCTCCTGAGAGAAGCCAGGGCTGGGCCTTCCAAGTCCTGCTCTGGGCCCCTTTAGCAATGGCAGGAACTTAAACACCATCCACACCTGGGTTTCTCTGTGGCAAGGAGCCAGGAGAACTCTGGCTGCTCCAGACCTCCCCCACTGTCTCTGGCAGGTGGCTCTCCCCTTCTGCATCCCCGGGAGGCTCCCAGACCACAGGGGCTGTCCTCCCACACAGGGACCCAGGTCCCATGCCTGGTCATCCACCCAGGAAGGCAGCAAAGTGTTCTCTGTGCTTACTGCATCTCAGGAATCCAGCCTAACCCCCTGGACTGGTTTCCGGAAGTTGTGAGCAGTGGTTAGCCCAGTTACAATGTTTGGGCAATAGCAATATCCTCTGACTTTCTGGAAGGGCTGGCCAAGAGGTCCCCTGGGTAGGGGGTGACTAGGCTTCTTGGAGCCTGGGGCCATGATGGAGAGAAGATTCCAAGCAGATGCCCTAGGAGGCTGTCATAGCAGCAGGAACTCTTGGTCCACAGATGGGCCGTCCTTGGCCACTGCAGGTCCAAACACCCAGGAAAGGGAAGGCCTGCTCCTCTAGGGCCTTGGCTTGATTCTGTAGTTTCCAGAAGCAGCTTTCCAGCCCCCATGCCCCATCTCTCATGCCAGGGCCCACTTGAGAATTACTGGACCGTGACCCTGCCTATGGAAAAGCTCTGAAAGTCAGCCCTTTCTGACACCCCCCACCATACACCCACTGGATTCCTCCCTCTGGGGAGGTCCTTGGGATCCACTGGGCAGGGGGCAGCAGGCCCTGCCACATGAGGTCTGGGTCCAGGGCTGTCTCCTGGTTCTGGTCCTCGGGTTCCTGGCCCAAGCATGTCCCTTATATGGGTGCTCCTGCATTTCACTCTGGGGCCTGGACTCCAACGCAGGTGACAGGGCCCATGATGACCACAAGAGGGGGACTGTAGGCCACTGGTCTGAGCAGGGTGTGCAGTGGGCTCCAGGCATCCAGGAGGTGGTGAGTGGGCGCTGGGCTCCTGTGGAGCTGGGTGGGAGTGCATCTGTCATAGGCCTCTGCTCGACCCAGCTCTGCACCCCTCCTGCCAGCACCCCAAGAAAGGGGACCTCCACCTTGGCCACCCTGGGTCACCCCCGTGCTCTCTGCTCCCTGGGCCCCTAGCTGGGCTTTTGCTGGACACCATCAAAGGCGGCTTGTGTGAGGATGGGCCTGGCTCTCCTGAAAGGCTGGTTCTCCTTTGTACCCTGAGTGCCCAGGACAGTGCCCAGCCCAGGGGGCAGGGTAGTGGGTGCTGAAAAAGTTAAATGAGAACAAATGCCTGAGAGGTGCTCAGGCTCCTGCCTGGGTCCTCCCTGAGTGTTTGCCACTGGAGACTGACCAGGCAGTGGCCCTTTCATCCCTCCCATTAAGCTCAGTGGTTGAGGAATGTTGGGGTCCCGGCTGGGCTCCTCCTTGGGACCAAGTGTTTATTTCAGATGGGGTGAGGTCTGTGGCTGAGACTCTCCCTCTGGGGGAGGGGGGTCATGAGCAAGGCTGTGACAGGCAGTGAGGACTAGGTCAGGCTCCAAAGGACGAGCGTGTCTACCTTCATAAGGAGAAGGGGGCGACCTGGGCCAGCGGAGAGGGGCAAGGGTCCAGGAGAGTAGTGCTTAGTGGAGAAGACACCAACACCCACTGAGGCCTTGGTCATGGCTTGGCCATTGTCCCTCTGTAGCCCAGTTCTCAGGGGGACCAAGTCTGGAGTTTGAGGGGGTAGTGTGGTTTCTGGGCACTTTGGATTGGAGGGCCTCCCCCTTCCCTCTTCTCATGACTCTCAGAATCACCTCTCAGGGATAAGAACCCCCTGCAAAGGGGTGATGGGCAGGCCAGAGGGTGTAGGGCACAGGTCTGGGTACCTGCCTCTGGGCCCAGGGT